TCCGATGTTTGGAAAATTTGCTGGAGACATTCGCTCGAGCTGAAATTTTACATGTGATCAGATATTATGTCAAAATTCTGTTTTAGAAAATTTAAGCAGTTATTATTATGTAAAGTTGCGAGATATAACCGTTCGGATACTTATGACCGCTACTACCAATTGTTCTCTTGTCGCGTATGTACATCATGTGGTCATAGGGATGAAGGTATGCGTATTCAAAGTGACAAGCGAAATGAATAGTTAGAGTTGTGACAGGAGGCGTTCAGAAAACATTCCCATAAAAATGGAATGATTCGGTATGTATAGGAAATGTATCAAAAGGACCATTCGCCTTGTGTGTTCAGCATATTACTAATTATGACCCGTCTTTATTTGTTCTTTTTTTTCTTTTCGTGTCGGTTATCGACGAGTATTTGTAATTGAAGTTCGCTATTCCAAGTACTTACAAAAAATAAAAAAAAATTAAACAGGAGAAAAGAATAGAATGAAAGATTGGTAACAGACAAAGCAAGAATCTCTCAATGTAAATACAATGTTCCAGAGGAGAACCAAACACTATATAATACAAGGGATCAACAGAGACATTAAGATGTTGACGAAGAATTTTTTTTCCGATAATTGTTACACGATGTCCATGGAATTAAAATAGAATAACAAATCTCAATTAACCTTCATCTTATGGCAACATACCAGTCCACTATTATCCTTAACACTCAATCTCCCTGTCATTATTTCTAGTCAGTCCATTCCCACACTTGTCGAATCCATCGCTCAAGATTTACATGTTTGGCTGCAGACCTCTGAATGAAAGGATGGTCAAGCATCTGTTTTGGTGTCGGCCGTTTCTCCCCATCCTTTTCCAAGCTGTCATAAAGTAAATAAGTCAGATGTCTGATAGTAAACGTGATGCCATAAAAGTTTCGATGTCTTACCAAACTCGCAGAAAGTCTCTCAAGTCTGAAGTCCAGTCACAATCGTTACTCAATTGGGGTGGATCCATTTTTGTTATGTGTGCTACCAATTCGATTGGACTTAACACAGATGGGTATGGGAATTTGTTTTCTGCAACTTCCATTATGGTTAGACCTAGTGACCATACATCGGCTGAGACCCTGTATTGACGTCCTTGAATACGCTCGGGCTGTTGATAAAAAAGTTAAACATGGGGAGGGGTGAGTAGGAATGAAACGTGTTTTAGAATGGGTAATGAAAATGAAGAATAGGGCAGGGTTTGTTTTTATCTTTGCGAGAGTGCTTTAGTCACTCTTGCACTATTACTTGCTAAAATCTTAAGATAAAGAATAACATTTTAAGTGATATTTACAGCCATATAGTAACTAGTGCCAAGGAATGTCTGTGCTAATGACGCTTCCAAATTCCCAGAGACACCAAAGTCGCAGATTTTGATTACGCCTTTCTTTGTTACCAAAATATTAGATGGTTTGATATCTATTAAAAAAATAAAACAAAATGAGTTTTATCGACACAATGTCGTCAAAAGATCGATAAGCACTCAACAGACCTCTATGGATAATCTTATGGCTGTGCAGATAAACCAAGCCGTTCAACACCTGACAATAGAATCATGTGATTAATAAGAAACGCTGATACCAACTGTCGACCCTCATTTAATTATTGACGACATTAAACTGAATTAATTAATCATCTAGATAAATTAACAAAGTTAAAACATATGTTTGACCCCCCGTCGAATTTCTACTCACCGCCTCGCCAATTTTCCCAAGCACCGACTCGCCAATTCTTCCCTTTCGTCTGCTAACACATTTATAGATAGCATCCAGACTACCACCCTCGCAATATTCCATGCAAATTCCAATAGATGAACGCTCATCTTCTAGAAATGCTCCATAGTAAGTGACGATATGCGGAGAATGACATGTGCGGAGAAACTCGAGCTCACGAAGAATTTGACGATGTACATGTTGGTTAGGGTCAACGTTGATTTTCTGTTTGCATTGAAAGAGTAAAAAGTTCGAGGTGTGTTAATAAAACTGTCATTAATCGACTGGATATTAATCGAGCGACATAACTCGATCTTTATAATCGATTATCGTTATCATACCAAACCCAACAAAATATCCGTTCCTTTCTATATCGTTCTCTTCCTACATACCTTCTTGGCCATGATTTTCCCAGTAGGAATATGACAAACTTTCGTAACAGTTCCACCGGCTCCCTCACCTAGTCTGTCCAAATCTTGAAATTCCTCTGCCTTCAAACTGGTAGCCTCGTCCTCCTCAAACTCATTAACAGCATTACTTACTTCGCTTACTTCACCTTCACTCTTCTTACCCGATATGCTTAGTTTTCCAAAGGCAGCAATCATAAGCTCCGACGTTAGTCTCTCTGCCTGCTCTGATACTGCAGAGCTCGAAGAGTTTGGTGCAGGGAGAATGAGAGGAGAGAGGGAAGAAGGTGCGGAGGTTGAGGGTGTGAGCGAGTTCCCTGGAGAGGGTATTTCCAGGCGTGTTGGAGCGTTGGTTCGCACCTTGAGGCGACCAGCGCCAGTCGGTAGTGGTTTACCTCGTGAAACTGGAGTAGATGTCATTTTCTATGGATGCTACGGAATTTGTGAAAATATGTGTGCGGTGAGAATCGCTTTGCCAAACTGGGTGTTTTTATTATGGTATATATCTATTAGTGCGTCAAATGAATGAACAAATAAATAACAAGCAGGTGACCAGGTAACCGTATGATATTATTATGTAAAAAGCGAATGCGTTGTTTGAAGAGAGTTTAGGCGGTGTTGCCTATTTTTGATCATATCGAAGATCTGAAATTTGAGTTTATATTCTGGTGCATGTCTGATAGTTATTTAGACCACAACAAATGGGAATGCATTCACGATGATATCTGCCCAATTTACATTCTCTAATTGCGAAAAGTATTTTGTTGTAAATATTGGTATTAGTATAGTATAACAGTTGTTTAGTAATTACATATTAAAATTAACAGAGATTACTATTTTTATTATCGTTGTTATTATTATATTTGTAATTATAAATGTATTATTATTTTATATTTAGAACTATACGTCATCAACAGTGGTATATCGTTAACCAATAGAATCGTACTAGCCCCAAATTTCTGAAACTATCTTTCGCGTCGTAACTCCACCCGCATCTCGCGCTCTGGTATTCCCTTCTTCGGACAATCACACCGAATAAATATTCCATACATTTAAGACACTTTCCAGCAAGGCCACACTCCTTCTTTATCTGTTTGTATTTCTACACAAATATACATGCTCCCCGATCGCCATCAGATTAGTCCCGTCCCAGATTCTCCACCTTTTCAAATACTGCTGACTAATGGGTCGCAAGATCCGTCCGACACAGTCATGGCAGCGACGATGACGGGATTTGCAGAGAAGAAGAGAAAGAATCCGTTTATTGAATTTACGAGATTCCAAAAGAATATGAAAGTAGAGAGTCAAGAGACACGGATTGGATTTGGTAAGACGAGAGGGATTGAAGGGAAAAAGAGAAAGAAGAAAATTGCAGATTAGTGACCACAGGGTTTTATATATTGTTATGTCAAAGAAAGCCATGTCTATATACAATATTACACAAGTAAACCATCTAACAACCTTTTCCTCCACCTGCTTTTCTCTATATATAATCTGCACTACCGCATTCACTTTTCCTTAACGTCATTTTACCTAAATAATGACCTTTACCGACGTCACAAGAAAAAGAAAACCGTCTATCTATAATTTCTCCATCTCTTTCCAAACTGTCAATTCGCCAACACAAGAAACATGGTACTACAGTAGTCGCTTTCCAATTACCCACTGGTACGGCTAAACGAAAATATACCCCGAGCAATTGTCATATCTGCCGCAGACAGAACAACACATATACAATCTTTGCACCATGCAAATTGTGTCAAAATACGGTATGCCCCATTTGCACTCGTGTCTGTGATAAATGCGAGGAAGCTGGGTGTAGCAAGTGTTGTGAGATTAGAGATAGGTAAGGAAAGAAGAGAGGGTAAGAGCAGAGTCAAGGCGATGAGAGGGGGGAGATGAGGTGGGGGAGATGAGGTGGGGGAAAAGAGTTATTATGCATGACTGAGATTGGATGCTAATGCCATTTCAACTTATTTCTATCAGATCCTGTGAACTTTATGTTTGCAATAAATGTGGAATGGACGATGATGTAATGAGCGAATAGAATTTAAACAAGTCAACATTACCAAGCAGGAATGAACTGAATAGCAGATTAGTGAAACCATTTGATAATGCAATGTACTCTGTCATAGAGATATATATATATCTATATATATTATGTAAATTGTCTAAATTTAAACAAGTCTTTTGCACACAACGAACTACTCTTATAATATCCTTCAACCAAAGCGAACAATTACCCTAATAATCTTTCTCAATAATTATTCCACTCCGCTCGATCAATATCCCTGTATATTTCTTCAACCAACCCCCCCTCCCACAATAATTTCAATTTCTTTAGCGTGTGATCCTTTATTTTATCCGCAGGTTGAATTTGGAGTATTGGAAGAATCGGACAACGATTTAAATATTTGAAATATAGTAAATTGTATTGTACATTGTTACTTATAGTATGGGCAATTTCTGTTGTGGTATTTGCTTCCACGCCTTCGGATTGGGTCGTAATCGGCGAAACAACTAATGATTACGAATAGTGGTTTAGGAAAGATGTACATGTGCGAGCGTGTAGGAAATTGTAAAGATTTAAAGTTTTACTTACACCCAACAGAATTCGTGTCTACAGTTTGGTGCTTTGCATGTCTATAAAGACGCAATGGATTATATCAGATATTATATAACATTGCTTTCATTCAAATTTCATCAATCTTTCATATTCTCAGTGTCGCCTTACCATATGATCACATCCTCCGTTTTTAATAATTCTTGATTTACATTTGGGGCAAGGCTTCGTCTGCTGTTGAAGAAACCCTTCAGAAGCCTTCTCAGCCTTTTTTTTATTGGCCTCCTCCTTTTCGGCATTTGCCTCATCTTCTTCGGCTTTGCATTGGTCGCACTGCAAACCTGAATGAATAGGTAGATCGTGTACGAAACAGCTACGAGCATTGCAGGCGGTGCAAGTCATTATGGGAACGGAGACTGTAATGATGGTAATGATGAGTGAGGTTAATAACACAACAATTTGAGAATAACGTAGTGTGTCTTGATTGTCTACATACGTCCTCCCTCATGTATTTGGCCCGCTGGACAGTTTCCGTTCTTGCACCATCGGAAATCAGGGACCTGTTGGAGCGCAAAACGAAGCGACAAGGCCTCAAACCTGTCCAAAAAAACAAATAATCATGTAAATTTGGAATCCACCCTAATCTTTCTATACTCCAGTAAAGACCGGGGTAAAAAAGTCCCTTCCTTTTTCTGTGTAATCCAAGCAAATCTTTCCGACCACTCAACTATCCTACGATTTCACCGAGTCTCTTTAACCTACCTGAAAAAGACATCTTCATCTACAATGTCTCTAATGTCCTCCTGAGCAAATATCATTTGACACTCTGTATCAGGACAGCGGATGTTAATGTTCCCTTTATCTGTTATCTCGCGTATTATATATTCGTTCAAACATGCACGACAAATGCTAGCGGAGTGGCTACATTTAGTCGTCGAAAGCGTAAAATTACGGAGTGGTAGACTATCACAACATATTGCACAATCTGTAAGCGCGGTGGTGCCACGTTCCTGTACGGGAAAGTCCTCTACTGACGCGTCAAGATAAGAAAAGTCGAAATTTCTAGAGCTTGAATTAATAAATCAGAAGTTAATACTTTTGCTGTTGAATGGCAGTTGTGCTGGAATGAGTATCCGATTTTTGAAACTCACCTGGGCGGACTTTCATCTCTAGTTTCCCACCAGTAATTCGGAGAATCACTTACATAAAAGTCGCTTCTCTCTCTCCTGTTGTAGTCTTCATCTCTAATGATTATCGGACTCACACTAACAAAATCGTTGTCTTCGATTAATATCGGGGTTCTTGACCTTTTAATGTCGTCATCGTCATCAATTACTATAGGACTACTTTTTTCCCAATCGTGAATTTCCACCTCGTTCGAATCTCCGTTCATGTCCAGGTGATGGCTTAATAGCATATCCGCACACGCTCTGCAAAGGTCCAAGTGATCTAATTCACTTGGCTTCAAACAAGAAGTACATATATCATATCCGACCTCATTTATAGGGTAGTCAAAACCAGATGATGTCACAAATCGTCTGTGGGTTGATTGCTGAGACGAATCATTGGGAGATGATAGAGAACTATCAGATACGTGACGCAGTAGATTACGTTTGGATCGCCTTGATGTAAATGGATCTTTTGGAAATATAGATTTACTGGACTTTGAGGTAGTGGCTTCCTCGAACATATCGGAGCCTGTTTCAAAGACCGAGGAATCTGAGAAATTTCTGTGAATAAGGCGGGACAAGTGATAGTTAGCGAATAGGAATGGTTCAAAAATTGAGGCGGATCAGTCTTGCTAGCGAACAAAAGTTTCTGCAAGAGCCGTGGCAAGTACGTTTGAATAAATTCGAACGTTGTTTTTATAATAGGTAGGTTATTGTCGACATTGACACTAACGTTTGTTCCTTTTTCTTCCCTCTCCTGAAGAACATTATACTACTCCACCCGTTGCTCGCGTCAGAGGTTGCGTAGTCGGTATTATTTCGTGAGAGACTCAATCTACAGTAGTTTTTCCTTTGTTCCTATCTGTCACGGGCTCCCAAGCTGTGCTTAGCCGGATATATATATTGTAAGACTGATTAAGGAATATTATTATCGATCTAACTTCAACAATAGTGCTTTTTCTAAATGTATTTAAGGGTAAGACGCGTTATATCATTGACGTAAGGTGTGCTGAGGACAAAAACTATACGTTCAATAAATCGGCAATACAGCGACGATAGTCCGTTATTGGGAACGGGGCTACTTTTAATAGGCATGGCCCTTTGTTGGTGTAACGTCATTGGTCTGTAAACAATAAACAGCGAGTTGTGCAAGTTACACTTGGCTACTGCGCAAACACGGGAAAGGGGGGACAATGAGAGTGTACTGCAGTTCGAAAGGTCATTAAGGTGGGGCATGTGCAATAATTTCAAATTACTAACAAAGCGACTTGACACAATTGCAACTAAAGGGTCAAATCACTTCAACAATAATTTATAATTTTATTTATAGAATAAAAATACAACAAACATACGAAAGTGATTGCATAGCAGGAAAACAACCAATACTTTGTGCATTATCTTATTTATTATTGCTATTGTTAATTAAATAATTATCGCTGTTCTTAATATTTTTTACCTTGGCCGAAATTCTATCACGGGAGCAGCCTTTTCCATTACAAGTTAGGCCATTAGCAATGAACTAATTCACTTGTGAATGTAAGCATATTTTATAAAGCGGTATACTGGTAAAAGCTGTTTATTGTTATTGTGTTGTAGTTGATGTTCAACATGCAGTTATCACTGGTTGCACGATGCCTACGAAAGTAACAATAGCATATTATCCAATACTGTATGTAAAGGTTATTGATCGAGGATTAGACTGACGATAATTTTTACCAATATGTTCTTGTTTGCTTCTTTCTTCGTTTGCTAAGCGAACTTGAACCAAAAGCGGTAATCGCAATAGACCGATTTCTGCTGGTAAAATACACGCTGAGTATATGCGATTGGCATTTCTATCAGAACTTGGTAATCTATATTCTCGAGAAAGTTTTATCGATGGTTATTTTGATCTTCCATCGTGGCACTTTTTCTTTACATTACCATAACACGCGGTATTATACCATTCGTCGATCTCTGACGTTTGCGAAGTAAGTGCGACCAATGCCTAATTTAGTAAGATACAGTAGTAAAAGTTCCTTAAACCTCGGCTGGTACTTACTTTCATGTAGAGAGAACTTGAAACGCTCGTAACTCGGCCAAGTTTCTTTTTGAGCAACCACAATTACAACTTATATCCAGGAAACGCATGGTTTTTCATATTCAGTGGAGCCATTATATTTATTATTTTTATACAGTCGACCTCCCCTACAGTCACACCGTTATAGAAGGTTTGCGTATGGTCATGTGATTAAATTTATTTCTTCTCTTTAAATTTTTAAAACTATTTCCAAAGTAAGTGTCAATTTGTTATTGATACTTTGATTGTTAACAGTAGATACTCTATAGAAAGTACGAATTTCTCATTAAACTAGTTTGCTATACTTTGTTTTTGGATGTTGTTTAATATATCATAAATCTCATGAGGCTCAATTGAGGAGAATTGATTTTTAAAGCAACAATGCATAAATTTGGTCACTTTATGCTGAATATGGAATATAAACACTAAACCTTGAATGTTACACAATACCAGTGACTGTAAAGGGATAGTAGGGATTCCAAAATCGGGTGATAGTGACTCTAAGGGAGGAAAATCACTATAAAAATGGCAGGGACCAAGGTGTGACTATATAGGATGTGACTAGGGGAGGTCGACTGTATATAGATAATCCCATATTTTTAATCAGGAGTGATAATAGTGAGTTGCAATCTATTAAAGAGCGCATTTGTCGAGTCAACGATCGCGAGAGGGCAATCTCTTGGGAAACTTTTCCTACTTTAGTTAATATAATGACATTTAAACTACTCACGACCTAGTATCTATCGATAGACACTAATCCTTGGCCCTCGAGTAATCCTCTATTCCCTTCGATGGGATTAATTCGGAAGCCTTTAGCTTGTATCTACTCAAACGTACAATCGCGATAAAGAACTACTTGTTTATTAGAAAGAAATATCAATTGAACGTGATGTGAGAAATAATGTACTTTTTATATATCTAATCGAAATACTAATGCAGATATGTGAGTTCTCATCATTATATTCTTATTTATGTAATAGCTATCAGACAAACATGGTCTTTCGGAAACGAAATTTTGCACTGTTGATACAACAGGATCATAAGATGGCAAAAACGTAAAATCCCACAAAATGCTGTTCGATTAATGTGCGAAGCGTACAGATAGGATAACCAACTTGGAGATGTAACTTGCGCGTTGTTTTCGATGAAATGTTCTCCGTAACGTTTGTATATTTGTCAATTGGGTATGTATTATCACTGCTATAAGAGAGGAGGCGTCATAATTAATATTAGTCTCCGCGTCCTTATTTGAAGAAATTCTCGAATCCCTTGGGAATCTTTTCTTTGGCTATTGGATGACTCGGTCGATGTGCCTTTACTTGTACTCGTAGGGCTGTCGGTAGCGCCGTTACTGGTAGATTATCTTTATCTTTATCTTTCTCTTGAGCTCTGATTTCTTCAGTGTTTTTACTACTGTCTCCCTTATTGTCTGTGAAGAAGCCTCTATCTGCGTTGGAGAACAGATCTTTTTTGTTGGAGGGGGTAGTATATTCTCTATTAACGAGAAATTCTGAACAAGTTATTTCTAATTGACAGCTTTTGAGTTTACGATATACGTTTCTGAAGGACATGTTACAACGGAAGAGGTTTGAGAGAGATGAAAGAGAGAAGTTTGCATCAATAATTCGTTTAAATATGATGATGGTTAGTGATTGGTGGTGTGATATTGATATCTTTAGGACTGTATATTGTTGGGATCATATAATCATTTGGTCCGGTAATAAATCTTACTGCCTAAATATAACTGAAAAGTTTAAATAAAACTTATTATCAAGTTTTCAGTCCAAATTCGGATTCACTGACCAAATCGCTTTATTATTATATCTCCCGTATTACTGGTAATATACGCAGTGAAGCCCGCTTTAGCAATGTGTTCCGTTTCACTTATTTTCTTCGTTAAAGCGGACTTTTATAGCGAATTTTTATATAAATTGCACAGTCAAAAAATAGAACCGTTCGGCCTTCATAATATCTGGTTCTCTCTACTAACAAAATCTTCCATTTTTGCAGAATACTTTGTTACCAGCGGTTATATTAGCGGACAGGAAAAAAAAATATAAAATTCTTCGTACAGATTTTAATTATAAATGAACTCGTTCCAAAAATCTTCGTTGTAAGGCCAACCGGACTTTCGTATTTCAATGCAGATCCTTTGCTTATTGTTATCTGTTAATAGTAATAATTTACATATCGATATTAATACAGTCCAAGTGCGGAAATGACATGATGAAATGGTCTTAAAATAATTTATACCAAATTGAGCGCTTGGCTTTAAAAATCCACTGCTTTTCGTAAGCGCAAAGAGACCCGACAAAGTATTGTGTCAGCGCTGTGTAATATCGCGTGCTATTAACTCGTCGCGGAGACTAGAACTATATTTGCTTATAATGGTTTCTAGAACGAGCCTTTTCATACGAGTTGCTTGAATAGATAAACTATTTGAAGTAGCGTCTTTCTTTTGGCATTCAGCTTTGATAATATGTTATTTATTCACGAAAATTAACTGCTGTAATGCAGAATCATTGTAGAATCTTGTAGAGTCAATTCCTTATTACTTTCTCTCAATGTTGAATACACCCTTCTAAGAGACTTGCCCGTCGACGACCGAAAATGAACGTTTGCCCACCCATCTTCTAATCATGATTAATCACTCTGTTGAGCAAACAACTATCCAAGTCAACTTCTCTTAGACGACAGGCAATAGCTCTCCAATCAACAATCTCTGATATTCTCCTACAATATTCTTGATTCTTACTAAAATCAATACCGCCATAGACCTTAGTTTCTCATCTTCCGATTTCTCAAATATGCTTGTAACCCACTCTTGCGACTCTACCAATTCTTTCCCGTGCGACTCTGCGATATCACGTTTAGCAACCATGCTTAGAATTATACTAAGACTGTAGAGTATCGAACCTTGGACTATGGGATCTGAGTAATACCGAAGAGAAAGGATCAAGTCCCAAAACTCGCGTACTATTATTGAAAGCGATAAACAGTTTTCTGGAACGATAGAGAATATTATTAGCAAAAGTCTTGCTGTAGTAACAATGAAACGATAAAAAGATTGAAATAAATCTTACTTGAACATTCAACAATCACTGCCAAGGTCGTGATTATCTTTTGAATCAGAAGAGGCTCGTACATAAATTGTGTTCGATTCCTAAATTTCAAAGGCATCAATTTAACCAGTCGAAAATACGCGACGCGTAGCCACCATGATCTCATCTACCTATCACGAGCCCAGCTCCACCATCCAGTAGCCAAGGGGGCAAAAAATGTCTTGTAAGCCAATTCGTCAAATCTATTAACACCGACGGATTTTGCACGCGCAACCTCAATCTGCGGTCGTTTCGAAATTCGTGTAATTTTACCCACTGGGACGCTCAGTTGCTGAATAGCATCAAGACTATCTCCCGTTGGTTGTCTTCTGACCGTATTAAGAGCATATTTTCCGTCAGCCGATGTAGACTAAATAGCGATAGTAGCAGAGTCAATCGTTGTTACGAGAGAAAGAGAAAGACAATAGAAGATTAAAGATTGGGGTTTAGACCTCCTGTGATTCTATGCCCGATATTCCTCGAGCACATTTTGCGATGACATCCAGTATCGTGAATCTCTGAGCTATGGATAGTTGCTTTTCTACCAAGTATTGAATAAGGTATCTGATCGTAGTAATAGAGAGGGACATAATTAGCAAATGACGCACATAGAGAAAAGTAACATCCGGTCGTGCTCAACGTACGGAATAACAATTTTTGGACTTCCACAACCGAGTGCTACAAGTGCAGCATTCCTACTTTCTTCAAAATCTTTAATCTTGTAAGAATCTTGAATCGACATCAAGGCAGCAGCCAGATCAATGGCATGTTCATCTAAGGTTCATAAAAAAAAAATACCAAGTTCAGAAAAATTCTTAAAACAATGATTGCAAAGGTCATGAACGGCTTCTATTCATAACTACCTAGCTCAGTTCCGAATGTGCTTTTCTTACAAATCAATTCACTTGCGTGCTTCAACCCAATCTCAATCTTATTAGGTTCTTCGTGTGATTTTAGATATGCAATCAAGTCTCTCAAATAACTGATATAGCCGTTAGACGTGTGTTCGTTTATGTATGCAAGCTCTTACTTTTAATATAAATCAAACATACACTGGTACTGCGATTTTCTTCCCCTTCTCTCGCAACGAAAATTCAACGTCAGAGTTCTCACTATCACTTTCTTCTTCCATAGGGTATGGCACAAAGTCATCTTCATCGTCCGAATCAGGTATCTGTTGGATTCTGCTACCACTTTTTGCAGTGGTATGCGTAGACGTATTGACAGGACTAATTATTTGTTTACTTGCCGTCTGACGATTTTCTTTAATACAGCGTAGTCCAGCAAATGGATTAATCGCACAATTACTTACAAGTCAAGCATGATAATTCACTCAAAGAATTGTCTACCTTCTTTGATTTCTTCCATCGCTTCTTCTTTTTTATTCTCCTCATTCTCTTCATCCTCATCATCGTTGGCCTCTTCTACAAAAGCATCTCTGGCTTTGGAGATAATCCTCAGCTGGTTCACAAACTCGTCATCAGAAGCTAAACCAAAATCTAATACTTTATCAGGATTATCTGTAAGTTGCGACAGCGTCTCGGCTGTAACCTGAAATATCATAAACCTTTTTTTAGAAGCTGCGTTCTTTTCATAATACGGTTATCTTCAAAATGAGCGCAAAGCGTGAACAATAACCATTCCAATCTTTCTTGATTCTGCAAAAGAACCTCCGAGCCAATGCGTCACGCCTGTTGCAAGAATCTTGGAGGTGCCAGTATCGATCAAGACCTCCTTAGGAAGGTATCCAAATATTATGAGAATGGCGTTCGTAAGATCTGTAAAGTTAGAGTGAAAGGTTATGTATGTGACGTCAACGGGCGGTAAAACATGCATTCCCTGGTGTCTCAATCGCATTACTTAGCGCGCATACAGAGATGACTCCTGGTCGAGCCATGTTTAACGAATGTCGGATCTGACCATGCGCTCAATAAAGTCTTCAAGAGTTGCACGAGTTCTAACAACGTAGCGACGTAATATGTACGAAAAATGGCGTTAGTTCAAGAAAGCGGTTTATCCCCAAGGTAATAATAATCACACGCAAGTAATGCCGCCAATGCACATACCGCTATCCATGCTTAAATCGACCCTGTACTTTCCAACAACGCCTTTTTTCTCTTCCATACCGATTACATTATTGATCGTAGTTCCCCAACTCAAAAAACAGCATAAAACTCTCAAGATGCTATTCTCAAACAGTACTCCACCAACAAAGTACTTATATTTCAACAAGTAAGCCAGTTGTTCTCCTTTAGTATCTCCAATAATAAGTTTGAGTAATTGTGCAGTTTTCAATACTTTACAACGCGATTTGTCATCGATCAAAGTTGAGGATATCGATGAGAGAACTTTCTCCTGACAGTAGACGAGAAAGGAAGTTAGGAAAAGTTCTAACGCGAGGGGTTGAAACGAGTGAATAGTTTGTTGCCAAATAGTGCAGTATAACGATGACGATGTTGAAAGATGCGTTCGAAGCAATGTATAAAGGTCGGGGATGATTGATTCTAGGATTACGTATAGGAAGAGACAAGCGCCATCTTTGAGTTTGCACATTGGACAAACAAATTAGTAAGTGCAAATCTTACGAAACTCACTGGAATGCCCTCTTTTACAAATTTTTGACAGTAATTCTCCATACGCAAATGCCATCGTCTCTATCTCATACTCTACAGACAACAAATTTGAATGTTGAATAACTACATGCAAAGACATTTAAAACTTTGATATAAAAAGTTGGCTTCACATGCCTCTAATTTCGCTTCTTTGAGATGTGTTCCATATGGAAGACTCTATTTCTCGGGCTAATTTCTTGAAGTAATCACTAACCCTAATTGAATCAAGGATAATCTGCAAGAAACAATTGAAGAAATAACTCGATCATGGAGGATACGTATCAGTCAGCAAACTACTGTCGCCCATCCTTGTGTATTTATCGGGGATAGAACATATATATTTGACAAGATCTTTCCAAGCTGACTCGCAATCTGCTCGATCTCTATCATTGCTAAAGAATGTTGCTTCGAAAGAGTCGTGAACGGTGTGATAATCCTGTGAGGGAACTGCAGACCGGAATACGTCTAAATGAGACTGTAATAAGGCGTCCAAAGTCTTATTCGCCGCTGCCATGATATAATCAGTTGGCAGATTTACAAAGTTAAAAGAGCCCTTTTATATTCGTTTTATAGAATTGCCTTACTAAGAATTGATCAATGTCGATCACAAAGAATTTGGATGTACTTTATTTCCGGCCATTTAGCGAAAACTATCAATATATTTTGGATAGCACGCGTTATCGGATAGTGTTGAAATTGACAATGAAGTTTCACCTCCAGTGAACCGAGCTCGAATGTAACTACACAATTTATTTAGCATCAAACTCATTACCGGTTTCATAAAGATAATTGGTTTCGATATTTACTTTGTAATACATAATTATAATGTACTCCATATTTTCAAATGATCAAGACAGCCAACAGTAAACATTGCACGATTTTATTTCGGAATCCTGTTAACTCAATCATATTGATATGCACGGAAGCATATCGTATTTAATTGGGAGAGGAGTAAACGCTTGAATAAAACTTGTATAAACTGTGTAATTACAAGTTATTCAAAAAAATTTTGAGTCGCTAAATTACAAAAATGGGGTGTTAACATTGTAAATTGACTTTATTTGTACCAACATGTAATCATACCTGCAGCTGAATCCAAAGCATAGCTGTTTCTTGGTTTAGGTAAATCTTCTGTAGGTAAGAGCTTACTAGAGTATTTACTCTCCTTCTCGAGATGTGATAAGGTTTTACATCACTATGATAGATAGTATTCCACGAATTGTGCTTGTACGCCTCGTTAATAAGCTTGTGAATATAATCGTCAAGTTTCTCCGCATCTGGACGCTTATCAGGATCAGCATCACAACACCGCTCGGCAAGTTTCTTGTATTCCTCTGGTGCGGAATCAGGCATCGATGGTCGTAGTCCATCCATAATATCGCACAATAAAATTCTATCGAACTGCCTATCTCTAAAAGGTGGTTCACCGGTAGCAATCAAATACATAATAATACCAAAAGAATATACATCTGATTTCTGAGTAAATTTGCAGGTATGGAAGACTTCCGGCGCAATAAAGGGTAAAACGCCTCGAATGGTTGAATTTTGTTGACGTGAATTCACCAATTGTAATTGTAATTGAGAAAGACCAAGATCGCATATGAATGGTAGTGGTGCACCAATACCATCCAAAACAATGTTTCCGCCATGAAGATCACAATGCACTAATCCCACATAATGAATTTGTCTTAGATAAATTGCAATATACCACAAATGCAGTAATTTATCCTCCCACGTCAATTTGTTAATATTTTGATGCAAATAAGACAAAAGACTACCATTGTTCGCATATTGCATAACAATCATGTACTCTTTTGTTTCTGGGTCTTGTGTCACTCCATAAATTTTAAGGAATGAATAATCCTTGCTTATGTTGCACTTGGCATGATTTCTGAACTATTAATATTAAATACAATGTCAGATTAAATATCACTTTAATTAATACTGCCAATTATTGCTTACCTCGGAAATAAATAATTCCGGCGTTTCATCAAAACTCTTAAACCGTTTGAGTATAACAGTTCGTGCATTCTCTTCTAACTCGCCTTTATATATGGCAGTATAAATTGTTCCGTAACCACCAGATCCGATCTCTTTGAGTTTATCAAATTCGTTATACTGCATGTACTTTACATGTGTGTAACGTTGTATAATTTTGTCCAATATTGCATGTATGTCATGGTAGAACACCAAATAATATTTTCGCGATGATGGTTCTTGAGTGATTCCAATTATCATAATATTATCGGGGGTTAATATCTTTGGGTATTCCTTAATTAACTATTTAATAAAAAAAAACAATCATTACATCAATCATCGATTAAACGCATTACAATCTAACAACATTATTTGAAATAATTTACCTGATAAAAATCAAATGACTGCGCATCAACTATCGGTTTGAGTATCACTCTCGTCGATTCACTTGTTGTCGGTTCTAGCCAATCTCCTGTATGTGTGCATCCGTGGCGTAAGGATGTCATTGCTCGTACATTTGTCAATAGAGAGTATTCAATCCATTGTATATAGGCATCATCTCTTCTCGTTATATTACTCCATGATTCCATTATGAATGAATCCAAATACTTGTTGCCCGTAGTCCAGTCGACAGGTATTGGTGCTTTACAACGAAGACAGAATATATTTATCTCAGGTGATAGTGGATACAGATTTAATTAGACAATACTTCTGTTTACTTGCATTGTATGTAAATCCGATAGTTATCCAAACATTACTGATGAGAATATCTGGATGTTTATCACATAACTAGTTGAAATAATAGGTTATATTAAGTCAACTATTATTTAATTATTCAATAAACATGCATAATTAATAATCGAATACCTTATTATAATATAAATCATCCGTCTCATCTGTTATCTCAAGTGGAATCAATTTAACAGATGTATAAGTAGATAGACCATACAAGTGTACACCATAATCTCTCCTATCATTAATACAATCAAATGGAATCCATTCCAAATAGGCATGATTTGGTGAGTTTGTTTGTAATTGAGATTTCTTAATAAACTCATCGAGTTGCTTATTGTTGCTAGTCCATCCATTGAACACTTCTTTATGGCCACAAATGCACCACACAGGACTACATCGGAGTATTCCACATGCAGAGCAGAATCCATATCGAGAATAATAATCGTAAAACCTTCTATCAGCAACCATGTAATAGTTGTTATCATATTTGGTAAATCCATATATCAGTTCGTTGCGATTACTAAGCCATGTGGAATATCTTCTGAACTGATTAACATTGTTGTACTTGTGTGTCGGAAGTGAGTATATTCTGGCAAACTCACTCACAAGGGTTGTTATACATTCTTCGCTACTTCCAAGGAATACCATTATCTTGCTATAGTGACTAGCGTAGTAGACGTTGTTAATTTGAGTTGGCTCTATGTTGGTAATTTGTGAGCAAGGAATCCATTCAAGTCTCAAGCCTTCATTTTCACTTTGTAAGGAGGATTGAACTAAGTTGTCAATTGCTGGATTATGCATATCCTTAACCGCTGGAACTAGCGACATAGTTTGAATAAGAGTATTCTCAGAATTTTATCGTGCTACATCGCACAATCCTTTATACATACCTTGGTTTTTAATCAAAGTTTCTCACTTGAAGATTTGGGTTTCAAGAATGGAATAAGGCAGTTTTAGCAAAATCAGAAATAGATGGGTTAGAAGAGCACTTACTAGAAGAATATTCTATATCATAATAAAATTAAAGTAAAAGGTATGCTAGTTATACTGTACTTCAAAATCAAATCCATATTCTTTATTGTTTGGTATACTGGAAATCGCTCAAAACCTTATAACGTTCTCTTGGGCATATAAATGTGTGGCTAATTTATAATTTAATCACATGTATGCGTTATTTTCATATAGCCGGAATCGTCAAATCCAACTATTGGCGAGATAATTGTCGGTGAAATGACTGTCGGCGAAACAAACTGTGGGGTAAAATGAAATGAATGTCGACGAAATGACTATCGGTGAAATGACCTTGTCGGTGTCTCGCTTTTTTTGATCACAATTTTTTGGGGATTGTAAATCGGTCTCCCCATTTTTTTCTTTGATGTTAATGTGGCCCATTAAATTTAAACGCCACCCAATTTTAGCTCTTTATTGTAACCCTTCTAAGAACTTCGGTGCACATTACGGAAACACACTATTCAAACTTTTTTGTAATTAATTTCATGGATATTCCCATTGTTTCGCTGGACCAAAGGAAAACATCAGCTATTTATTCTACCAGTTTTTTCTAAGACACTTCCTCCGCACCTTCTAGTATATTCATTCCTCCGCCTTGGTTAATTTTCAGAAACTCGGGCTGTATGAACTAACCGACTGTGTTGATTTTCTAATAGTATTCTTTGAAGCGGATATTGAAATTTTTCCGGGTTAACTCTTCTCTCACAAATCCACGCGATGGAGCATATTCTCCATCAAAAAAGTATTCACTGGTTCATTTTCAGAGTCGACGGTTTTTCGAATTGTAAATAATGCCGGAGTCCATATTACATCAGTTGCACTTTTCTGATTTTCCATGCTACCTTCCCATTCGGCGTTGGCAAGTAAATATCGAAACGTATCGCCTTTATTTAATTTCATACTCATCTTTCCAACTGGACACTTATATTTAACTCTTTCTAATTCGATTGCTCTTGCTGGAGCTAAACTTCGCCGTGATGACCCCGGAGATTTAATGAGACGCGTTGGATAATTATTTAAATAATTAAGGTTACGTAAGTGCTTACTTAACCCATGCTCTTATTAATTTAGGATTCGAAGATAGAGATTCAACTGCATATTGGATTTTATATAAAATCCGCGCAAGCGTCTTATTAAATCGTTCTACAATTGCTAGCCTCGATGACTATAGAGGCCAATTACTCGAATTGTAACATTATGGTCTCGCATTAATTTATTCTTTCACCGCACTAGAAGATGTTTTGCTAGTAAACTGTATCTGTCAATTAAAGAAAGAGATATCAGCATTGCACAATGACTGCTCTCAAAATATTCTAATAAACATTTATAGTTAAAGTGATAACAGTTTCCGAAACTGTGGTGTTGTGAGTGTAGGCCGGCGCCAACTAGTATGATCTGCACTATCTGCTTTTTCTTCGTTAATATAATTGTAGATCTTATGTACTTCACGTTTATAGTTCTCCTAAAAAATTTTTGTGGTTAGTCTTAAATATTGGGTAAACCAGAAAGAAAATATTACGTTCTAGCATACCCCGAATGTAAACAAGTTGTCAACACTGTCGACGAACTGACCACAGGTTCGAAAGGATCTTGGAAATTCAGCTTGACCAACTTCAAACATGATATAAGTCCCCGAAGCGATCAGAACCATCATATAGCCTGTCCATGTTGTCACTATTATAATATACAAAGCAACAACTACATGAATGAATGGATATCCATAGACAGTTTAATGAACAGTTAACATATCCTGATGAGCAAGCACTCACCGACTGTTTGCCATCCAAAGACTACACAGCTTCTTCCAGTATTTTTTATAATATTGTCAAGTGCATCTTTCATAAAAATACCCAATCGGATAATATCAATGGTATTTTTTCTAATATTATTGTTTTTCCCTTCACCAGTGTTTTCACCAAACATCAACTCGAAAGCTGATGTATTGTTGTTTATGACACTACCAATCATATCTGGCTGTTTAGCCCGTGAAGGATCAAGATTAGCAAGTTTACGAGCTTTAGCGCTCATACTTGCAGTGTTTGGCCATGTGGTGGGGTGGAATGTGGCATCGTGGAAGAAAGACCGTAAAACAGGGCTGACAATATTTGCAGTTAGAGTTCCTTCACTGAGGAGGTCATTTAATGGTTTGATAGGTATATTTTTTGTTCTAAAATGTAATGTAAAGTACATTAAATAAAGCGAAACAACCGAAAAAAGGTAATAACTTGTAGTTGGTCTTACAACTGTAGAAAAATATTCTGCAACATATCAAACATGTTTTGGTCCACAGGATTAGAAAAGGTCTTTGTAAATGATTTTTTTATGGCCTTCTCTGCTTCTGGTAAACCCAAGTCCTCATCGATTGCAATCTAATATATAAGATAATAATAAACCTGGTAGAAATTAACTTTGAAGGTCTTCAGAAAACTTTGCATTAACAAGTTACCTCTATATATTCTCGGAATATAGACTTCATAGCCGAGGTAACTTTTACTTTTACTGCATACATGTCACACATTTTTTTCCGCAAACTTGTCAGAGTATCCCGGGAGAATTTCTTGACTTGCAAGTCTGAAAATTTGTCAGCTTGCAGTAACAATATACTAGACAGACTTCTAATAATTTTAATAAAATATTGTTAATCGCTGTTCATAATATGAGATAAACTCCTGATTGATACCTACAAGATTTCATGATAATTTGTCACAATCGAGAAACCTGATGTTTCCCCCACGCGATATGCTTCGGACCGGTATGAACTCAATAGCATGGAAATATCTTTTTCCTGGAACATATACTGTAAAGCGAACGCAATTCATTAAAAAGATCGACTGATAAAAAAAGAGAAAAGAAAACTTACATGAACATCAATATCGTTAGCTTCATCAAGTATATATGATTTACTATATGAATTACTCAATGATAATCTCTCTTGAATAAAATATTCATCATCTACATACTGATCGAATTCCATATTTCTTATGTCCATTTCATTGTCACTGGCATACTTCTGGTATTAAACATGAATTCTGTCACAAACTAGTGAAGTGTATAGCACAGACTAAAATTATACATGTACATACTGAAATCTCATACTGATATTCAGCATTGGAAGTAATTGTTGGAGTCAACTTTGAATAATGTGGCATTGGGGTCGCAGGTGTATCCAGTTTCTGTTTTGTATTTTTCCTATGATGCTCCAACGTATCTTTCAGTAATTCTGCTGATGTCACAATCTAACAGGATAAGTAAAACAAACGATCAGCAAAATAGTATTTTCTCTTGATGTTGAATTAATACACAAGGGAAACTTACAGAGCTGGTATGTACTTCATCTTCAGCACGTTTGCGCTTGTTTTCGTTGACTTGAAATTCATTTTGGGTTTCTTCCATCTCGACTTTCAACCAGTAATTATTAGACGCTTGACTTTTTTTCCACTTCTGCAATATATCATATAAATGCTTACGCTATAGCCATCAGCTAACACACAAAAAATCATAAAACTTAAGAACCTTAAAGTCCTTGAATTTTTCCTGTGCCAGATCGACTATTTCCGGAATATTCAGAGACAGTTGCTTGAGAGAGGTGGACAGATACTGTTGAGCTAATTTTCGTTCTTTGTAGGAGAACCCAAAGTAATCAAAAAATTGAGGCGGGTTCAGCTCTCTTAAATGGTCATAGACGAACTTATAGTAGACGTTCCCCATACTTCGCCTTTCGCGTATGTCACGTTCACAATTTAATTTCGCGTATTAGTATGTCACGTTCATGATCTAAATGCGTTCCTCAATTCTATTGGCCCGAAACTGCATGATATAAAGAATTCGCCAAACGCGAGATATGTAAACAGCCACAGCAGGCCACACTGTATGAGCAGATGTTCTAACCGCTGAATACACCCTACTGTTGGTTTGCGTTTCCCCGTCTCTAGGCGAAATGAGTGTCAGACTGACCTCAGCACTGCAGCGGGCGATCTTGAGCTATGCCATTTTCCAACCCGTAAAAGCCAGGGTTTCAACACCAGTCAATGCAGTTGCAACGTAAGAGGCGCTGATTAAGTGGTCTAAGAATCGAAGATTCAACCTTTGATCGTAGACTGCTTTGTCTGGGATAGCTTGGTCTTTGGCGAAATGAGTGTCATGCTGACCTCAGCGCGATCTTGAGCTACGCCATTTTCCAACCCGTAAAAGCCAGGGTTCAACACCAGTCAATGCAGTTGTTACGCGAAGACTTGTTTATGAATTCTTCCTAAACACAATTTGATAACGATGAAATCGCGAAATTGTCCTACTATTGTTTGTTATATACACTATACTAAAATAATTGCTATTGTTAATTTAGGAACGACTTATCCTTCACATTAGTTGCGAGAAATCATAAACTGCCACAGTAAGGCATACTGTATGAGCAGATGTTCAACCACCGAATACACCCTACTGTTGGTTTGCGTTTCCCCGTCTCTGGGCGAAATGAGTGTCAGACTGACCTCAGCACTGCAGCGGGCGATCTTGAGCTACGCCATTTTCCAACCCGTAAAAGCCAGGGTTTCAACACCAGTCAATGCAGTTGCAACGTAAGAGGCGCTGATTAAGTGGTCTAAGAATTGAAGATTCAACCTTTGATCGTAGACTGCTTTATCTGGGATAGCTTGGTCTTTGGCGAAATGAGTGTCATACTGACCTCAGCACTGCAGCGGGCGATCTTGAGTTACACCATTTTCCAACCCGTAAAAGCCAGGGTTTCAACACCAGTCAATGCAGTTGTTACGCGAAGACTTGTTTATGAAATTTTCCTAAACACGATGAAATCGCGAGATTGTCTACTATTGCTTGTTAGATATCACACATGTATACTATGGTTATGTACTTGAAAATGATTGTGTTAATATTAATTTAGGAACGGTTTATCCTCTACTCCAGTTACAATCTGTCAAGTTAACATTTTTGCATGTTTGGCTGTGGAATTCCATGATATACTGCTAATGGGTAAGATTGTTCCTTAATCTCTTTAACTTCAATTTGAGCAATTAATTGACCATTTTATTGTTGTAGTTGTCTTCAATCCTATCTGGGAGACAGAATTGAGAAATAGACCTCGGCCCACTAGACGTCCTACTGGATCCAATACTGCCATATATGTTGACTATGATGAGTTTGATGATACAAATGGTGAAATGATAAGCATTTCCTAATGCTTGTTAATAGCTATGCAAGAAGTTTGGTCACACTTAGTATTAGGATTAAAGGTGAAAATCAGTCAGGCAATAAATAGGTATACATATTAAAGGGCTTATTATTATACCAAATGCTATGCCATAGTACTCTTTATACTCAACAGTGTTATTTTTCACTTTCAGCAATGCTAATGAAGAACGGCCCTTTGATAGCTTCCGGCCAAGACACACAGAAGATCACTTCCCATTGTAGAGCCTCGTGGTAGACTCAGTTCAAAATCCTATATTTAAGAATCTATATACAGTAAGTTCGGTAAACATCCCCCGATTCGCGAACGCGTAATAGCTCTCCCAAATCCCGATTAAAGTACGAACCGAAATCAACAAAGTCTTTTTGAATTTTATTAACAGTATTCGTGGTTTACCAAAAAAAGGAGGACACGCACTTCGGATTGACACTATAGCGTGCAATGAAAATTGCTTTGAACCGTAGACTTAGAAACTTGATATCTTAATTGCGAACCCTTCCTCTATGCCACAAATCACATCAATACATGGATATTCATGTATCTAATCGAAAAGAGGAGTGTTACAAGTTTATTCAAAGAGTGTTTGAGTCACTAAAATTATAAATCGACGGGCGATGTTAATATTGTAAAATGACCTCATTTATAACCAATTGTTGTCTTCATACCTGCAAGCTGAATCCAAATCATAATAACTATTTCTCGGTTTAGGTAAATTTCCTGTAGGTAAGAGCTTACTAGAGTATTTCTCGAGATGTGATAGGGGCTAGGATAGATAGTATTCCACGTGTTGCCATCAGAGTTATCCTTGCCCACCTCATGGTCGAGCTTGGTAATATTTATCCAAAGTGTCTCTGCATCTGGACGCTTGTCAGGATCAGCGTCACAACAACGCTGAGCAAGTTCCTTGTATTCTTCTGGTGCTGAATCAGGCACCGGTGGTCGTAGTATCGCATACTAAATTTCTATCGAATTTTCTGTGGTTTACCAGTGGCCATCAAGTACAGTGGACTCTCCTAAGTGCAGCTTCTCTAAGTGCAGCTTCTCTAAGTGCAGGCACTATATTTTCCCTCCCTAAATGCAGGCTCTGGTTTGGTTCCGAGATTATAAGACCATTAAGTATTTCACTCTCTATAAATGCAGATTCTCTATAAATGCAGTCAGTGGCATGATAATACCAAAAGAATAGATATCTGATTTCTGAGTAAATTTGCAAGTATGGAAGACTTCCGGGTTAAAACGCCTCGAATGGTTGAATTTGCACGTGAATTCACTGACCAAGAATGAATAGTAAATTTTCTAGTCCTCCACTCTAAAAAATATACGTTCGTCCACAAAACGTTTGGTCCGACAAAATAATGGAAGTGAACCAAAGTCATCCGCATAGACTAACAGTTCATCATATTCTTGTTTCCTCGTTAGAATGAAGCGGCAGCGGCGAGCGTACACAACACAATATACCTTGAAGTGATCTGGGAACACTTCCTTGGCGTACCGAGCAAAAAAGACTCACTTTAACTCGTCTTCATGACCAATGTATCGTTTAACAATAAGAATTCGACTTGACTCTGTATACGATATACGACTATTCCTGTGATACGGAGGGGCTGAGATTTGTTCTCATCCATGAGCAAGTAGCAGCGCAATCGGATTCAATAATAGAGGAATACTTAAAAACTTGACAGGGATTGAGAAGCCTGTTTTTCAATGGGTATTTTCTTTTTAAAGATTTCTACAAGCCAACAGGGTTAGAAGGTTCTCTCTCTCAGGGTCATGTGTCACATCATCACAGAAAGTGTTTTGGTAATACAATAAATAATAAGCGTCGTGCTATTTGCAATCCGTGTGGAATTCCCGATTTCAGCCTGTATTACGAACTTATGTCAGCACGTTAAAATTAATTCTGGTATCCGCACTCGAAATTGAATTCCCATATCGAGGCACAATATTAATTACTCATTTTGATAAGCTAAATTTTAACAACTCAACCTTTCAACTTTCTAGTCAGACCGAAATCAGCAATGCTGAGGCATCCATATCAAATCAGTTGAAACGGTTTTCAGAAGCGTAGTAAGTAGGATATGGAAATTACTTTTAAAGTCGAAATGATAATCTAAATGGTATTATATGATATTGTAGCGAATGCCTTTATTTACGGCCTTTACGAGTTACACAATCAATATGTTTATACTTATAATAGCACTACATAAAATATTAAATATGTGATGATTTAGTGAAAATTGGATGCGACTACTACACAGCGTTTGGTGTTCATTCTGTTATTAATACTAATATCGACATCATATACGTGTATATGTAAGTACTAATAAATGCTCCATATTTACTTGCATAGTTCCTTCTATTCATTTTGCTTGCATTCATCCTTTAGTTATTTATTCAACCAAAAGTAAAATTTCGTTCACTTCAAAGGTAATTACCCCCCCTTTTTCAATGAATGAGTAGTTTAGTTTAGTATTTCTCACAAACAGGCTGTTGAATATTATCTGCGCTTATACTTATTCAGTTGCTATTCTCTCAATTTCAGCCTTCTGAGTCGACGCCTCCGCATTTCCAAATATTTTTACTCAACTGTAAGTGTCAAAAAAAAAAGACCTTTGAAAAAATACTACTGTCTTGCTTAAATAATTATCCAAGTACCCTTCATTAATTTAAATCTTTCATTATATTCTCAACCAGCTTGTTAATCAAACGCGAGATACATATCAAAACAAAAATACATTGCTGATATTCAACTCAATTGCCTAATCCTTCGGGAAAATGTAGAGGTTCATGAAGTATTGCTTGTGTAAGGTTTACGTTCGTCTTTCCTTTGAATGGTTGCTTAAATAGAAAAAAAAGTAAAGAATGTAAATACCAAAAGAACCATGGTATACCATCTTCATTGCCGTCCTCCCCCCTCCCACCACCCCACCTTTCTAACCAACCTTGCTAAAAAGTAACTCGTACATAACAACTCTGAGAGACCACCAATCAACTGAACTCAAATATCCCTTTTTCATTAAAACTTCGGGAGCCATGTATGCCATTGATCCAGCAACAGACGTCAACATATCTTTGACATTGAGCTTACCAGATCCAGCAGTGTTTTTTCTCTCAAGAAGTTGATTAAGCAAGAGAATCAAGAAAGATTTAGCAAAGTCAATGCAAAGAACCTCATGCTATGGCATGTTTCTATTCCCCTCAATGATAATGTTAACAATGCACTCAAGAGTCTCATGCTCCAAGATGGACAAAATGGAGTTCAAAAACTTTATCCAACAAAAAGATTGGTCAATTATTTCCCTGACAAGCCTGCTGAAGACCATATCCATGTTATTATTGAACCTCCACCTAGTATGTTGTCAGGATCGAGGCCCAAGTACGACATATTCCTCCATGATTTCCGCTTAGTGATACAAGAATCTCCGATGCCGCAGTATCAAATTCCAAGTGGAATGGTTGTCAAACGGAATTTGCGCAGCACAAATTAACATTTGTTAGCCGCCGGATATATCCATTTTTCTTGACAGACTATCCGGATATATCCGTTTTTCTTGACAACCACAAGATGTCTGCTTATATCCAAAAGTTTGGACAGTTAAAAATAGATTGTCCAAATATATCCAAAAACTTGGACAGATAATCTAAATGTCCGAATAAGGAGAAAACTTGGACAGAACACAAATTACCCATTTATCCATAAACTTGGACAGTTTAGTGAAACGATGATTAGTTATAAATATGAGTCGTAGATAGTAGCTAAAAACCATCATTCGAAGCATGGGTGGTACCCAATTCTCCTTCAATGGTACAATGTAGGTTGGGAAACATTTGTAAGTTTTTTCTCAAAACATAACTGTCCTTCATGAAAGCCAATAATTCTCCTCAGTGATGAGGCTTCGTGGCTGACTAGTGTGGGTTCTGAAGCTGAAAAGGAGGTCACAGATGAATTCATCAGCATGCTGTGGTCTCTTAAGGACCCTCATCAATACACACTATATTCTCTTGCATTTGTCAGTACTGAAAGTATTAAAGAGCTCCTGGTCCCTCACAACAAACTTGGTGCTTCATCTTGAATCTTGCCTTTTACAGCAGAAAAAACTTTGTTGGCTGGCTGGTTTACCAAAGCAGAGGTCAAGGAGCTTTTTGATCAATTTGCTATGGATATGGGCACCAGATTCGAATCAGCCAATATTTCAGCAGATATTTTTGAACTCACTCTTGGCCACAAAGGTCTCATTGGTGCTTGTGGTTCCTATATTCAGCAAACATATGAATATCAAAACTCTCCCATTATAACAGCTGATGACTGGAAGAAGACTACTATTATTGGTCTACAGAAATATATTTGTGAAATGCCACATTATAACTTAATCATGCAATCTCTGGGCTCCCTTTCACCAGAATGCACATCTATTCTTAATAAGGTTCTTTGTTATGGCACTAAGGAAGTTGAACTAGTAAGTTAATTGTTTATTCATTATTTTTATATTTACATATGACCTGCTGTTTATTCTTTTATTTATTTTATTATATTTATTTTTTAAAAAAAGACACAAGTGGCAAAATATCTTATTGCAGAGGGAATAATATTTATCAAAGAGCACAAAGAGGAGAATAGTGCTATAATGGAATGCAGTGCTCCTATGTCAGCGGTTTTCTTCGCGAGGCGGCTGCGCTCCCTCACCGTGACAATAGAGCTCTGTAGTGTCGATGCTTAGTGA